ACGAATCGTCAAATCACGATACACTGCACAATCGCTAGATACTTCCGCCTATGCGCCATTCTACGGCAAACCCTAAAAAAAAACCCTAAACCTAAACCCTAAACCCTAAACTTTAAACAAGGGTTCCTAAGGTTAAAGGAGCCCAGAGCCCCATTCTAATGAGCAGGAGGCCCCTATACTAATACGTTTTGGAGTAATGGGTTCAGGGTTCTAGGAGTTCTTCTTTAGGAACTTACCCTTCAGGTTTTAGGGTTTAGGGGTTTAGGGGTTTAGGGTTTAAGGGTTTAGGGATTTAGGGTTTAGGGTTCAGGTTTTATGAGGATCCTGCAGAGTTCTAGAGGTTTTTTGACGCTTCCTGTTCTAGGGTCGTCAGGCGAAGGAGCTGAAACTATAGCTTACTTGTAAGCGAGCGTCATAGTGATATGGGTAGTTCTCTAATATAGGGTCGCTTTCAGGGTCCTTTTTATAAGGGTGCCGTACTATATTGGGGACCTAAAAAGGGACCCTAATTTAGAAAACTACCCCTTTGGGGGACATGAGCTGCTGTCGTTGTCAATAAGTTATCAAGGTAAACTTAAACTCAGTTCATGAGAACTCAGGTGTCTCCCGCGGTGGCCTTTGTGGTCTTGGTCCTGGTCCAGCTCCTTCCCATTAAGAACATCGGTGGCAAGTGGTTCACACCAGTGCCTGGACCGGATGAGAAGGCATCGTCCAACGAGCAGCCCGTCGATGCCGAGATTTGAGGAGTCCCTCTATTGACCGCATTTCTTTTTCCGGAAGATTTCCTACGTTTTCAGTTGTGTCAGGCAGTTGGCCTGATGTATTTTCATCGGGTGGAGCCCCAAAACCGCGAAGAGCTGCCTACTTCAAGGAGCGACAGCCACGGCAAAAGCCGTGTCTGATCCCCTGGACGTGGGCTTGCTAGCTTTTATTTGATCAGGGATCCTGTTTCCTTGATCAGGGATCCTGATTCCCTTCCAGGGATCCTGATTCCCTTCCAGGGTGCGTCGAAGACGTGTTCTGGGAGAGACTCGCGAAGAATCTCAACCGCTAATGCCAGGTTGAAAAAGGCATCCAGGGCCAAGGGGCTTTAAGGCTTTAGGATGTGGGGTTCATATTTTGTTGATTCTATTTGTTTAAACACGTTTCTTTCTGGCCGAACACTTACAATGGTTCAGGGAGGTAGCATGGCTAACCAGTCGACTAACCCAAAGGCATCAAGTCCCAGACCTTGCCAAGGGGTTTTCAACCCTTCCCCAGAGCCCGATGAAGATCAGCGTGATGTCACTTGTGCGGTTTGGCAAGAGCGAGTGGTTCTCTAGTGTGGGTTTTGGGATTTGGATGCAGATTGTGTGCAGTTGTAGACATTCTAGCCATAGGTGTGGTGTTGCGACGCGAGTAAGTGCTGCCGACATGTACCTCGGTGCGAGCGTATCTTCTGGATGCTCGAAGCCGTGCTAATTCCTTATGCGCTTCGGGCTCAAGAACATGCTTGCACATGAGCAAACGTTGCGAACAACCGTTCCGAAGCCGAGGTTGCCGAATTTGCCCAATGCAAAGAAACTCGTATTGCCTCGTGCGTTCGAGATGTTTCGTATCACGACAAGTTGAGAGCGCCTTACATCGGAAATCCAACTCCCCCCCCCCCCACCCAGCCCTCAATGAAGAGTCAAAAGTTTTGAGATCACCCTAACTAAACCCAAAACGCAAAACCCTAAACTGAATTAAACCCCAAACCCCAAACCCAAAGCCCTAAACCCTAATTAAACCCTAAACCCTACCTGTAGCCGAAAAGACCTACCTTTTCTAGGGTTCCTTATAGTTCCTTACGAAGGCAGGTCTTCTCGGTTACAGGCAAGCCCCGTGGAGCTTGCTTGAAGCAGACTGAGGCGACTTCAACCCTGACGGAGCTCTAGGGTTTAGGGTTTAGGGGTTTAGGGGTTTAGGGGTTTAGGGGTTTAGGAGCACTTTTACACCCTTCTGAAACCTTTTGAAGAAGATGAAGCCGTTCATAAAGAGCACAAGAGCTCAACGCCCAAGCTTCCTTTTGTTTTTGTCCTAAACCCTAAACCCCAGACCCTAAACCCTAAACCCTAAACCCTAGACCCTAAACCCCAGACCCTAAACCCTAAACCCTAAACCCGAGACCCTCGACCCTGAACCCCTTTTTGTGTCATTCAATCCCCGGCGCTCTTGGGGTGCTGAAGCTGAAGGCCCCTAGCGGGCTTTCGGGACGGGGGAGAGGGTCGGGGTTTGTTTAGGGTTTAGGGGTTTAGGGTTTACCTGTAGCCGAAAAGACCTACCTTTTTAGGGTTCCTTATTATGGTTTCTATATATAGTTCCTTAAAAAGGTAGGTCTTTTCGGTTACAGGTAGGGTTTAGGGTTCGGGGTTTAGGGGCCAATCTGGGTTGTCAGATGTAGTGCTTTCGGGCTTAAGACTCAGACTCAGCACCTGAAAAGTAGAGCCTCTTAACTCAGAAGCCTGAAGCCCTTAAGGTGTGCTAAGGCCTATGACCCTAGACCCAGGAACCTTAGCCCGAAATATGCCGCGCCTTAAACGTGTGAAACCACGAACCATTAGAGTGGTTCTCTAAACTAAGCTCCCTTTTCGAGTCTTTTGTTTTTTTTAAGTATTCCGTGCTATTCTTGGGGACTTAAACCGGGACCCTAACTTGGAGAACTACCCATATAGAACCCTAAACCCTAGACCCTAGACCCTAAACCCTAAGCCCTAAACCCTAAACCCTGAACCAAAGAAGAAAAAGCCCTAAACCCTAGACCCTAAACCTTAAAGCCTAAACCCTAAACCAAAGAAGAAAAAGCCCCAAACCCTAGACCCTAAACCCTAAAGCCTAAACCCTAAACCAAAGAAGAAAAGACCCTCAACCCTAGACCCTAAACCCTAAACCAAAGAAGAAAAAACCCTAAACCCTAGACCCTAAACCCTAAACCAAAAAAGAAAAAACCCTAAACCCTAAACCCTGTAGGACTTCTTGGGGTTTCGGCTCTGCGTCCTTGGGGGCCGGGGGTGCCTCGATCTTCCCCCGAACCGTGGCTTTGGGCGATCCGCGGTGACGGCGGAGCATCATAGGTTGTGCATACTAGGGTGTAGGGTGTAGGGGTTAGGGTTTAGGGTGTAGGGTCTAGGGTTTAGGGTTTAGTTCCTCAAAAAACAACACGTATGATACTGTTGATGATATAAATCCTGCATTACGTTAAGGACCCTAAACGATGGGAATTATGGGATATTCCTTATTATGGGTAGTGCAGGATTTATATCATCAGCCGTATACTATCATATACAATCTACCTAAATATATGATATGATATAGCATATTCTACTCTACTCTTCTATGGCTCTAATCTACCGAAATCTTTCATGGTATACCATAATATGATATACCATATTCTACTCTACTCTTCTATGGCTTTAACCTACCAGAATCTTTCACAGTATACTATGATATGATATACCATATTCTACTATGGTACCCTATGGCTTTAATCTACGCACCATAATCTACCATAGTATACTATAGTATACCATCATGTACTATCGGCCCTGGGATCAGGGTTTAGGGGTCAGGGTGTAGGGTTTAGGGTTTAGGGTTTAGGGGTCAGGGTTTGGGGTTTAGGGTTTAGGGGTCAGGGTAGGGTTTAGGGTAGGAGTAGGGTCAATGCACTGGCAGCCCAGATTCAGTCACTACCGCATTTGTGCAAGAAGTCTGATCTCCAAACCCAGAGCCCTACGCCCAACACCCGAAACCCTAAACCGAGTCCCAAAACTCTAAACCCGAAACCCTAAACCCGAAATCACAATCCCTAAACCCCAAACCTCAAACACTCTCAAACAGCAGGCCCCGAACCTTCAACTGGGAGACTCCGGTGCGCAGAACAGAGGTACGCCCTCCCTACCTTACGCCTAAATCGCCAACATTTTTCAGGTTTCGGATTAAGAGGCCACCTTAATCAGCCTCAATACCTACATTTTTCAGGACTTCTATAAGGAAAGCACATTCAGGATCCCGAAAAAGGTCGGTTTCTTCGGGCGCAGGCAAGCCCGAAGCCCTGAAATCCTAAAGAGTCTGTGGAAGAAGAATGCTAGATTGTTTTTGTTTGGGGTTTAGAGGGTTTAGGGTTTAGGGGTTTAGGGGTTGAGGGTCTAGGAGTCTCGGGTTTGGGGGTTTCGGCTGCCGGTTATGTATGGCCAGGTCACGGCTGTTTGCGACGGAAGCAGATGCAGGCGCGAAGTGCAGCTTAGCTCGCGAGCGGTACCGCCCATCCAGGAGTTCATGATCTTTGAAACCTCTGCACCGCATCGTTTGAATTTGGCTGACAAAGTTTACCATAGTGAGGGAATAGAGACATGCAGCCTCAGCGCTGCTGCTCCTAAAGAAAAAGGGTATCTTCGTTTCTTCTGGGTGTCAGCAGTCAAGCTCAGTGTTCTGCAGAGGGAGCCCGCATGGTGTGGTACGAGCAGAACCAAAGTCTGTTGACATTTGCCCGGTTCTCCGACAAGTGCCCGGTTCTGAAATTTGTTGGAATCTGGCGCACCGGGGGAGAAACGGTTCCAGAATTCCACGGGCAATACGACTGTACTCTAAAGTAGTAGCAGTACTAGACCGGTCGTGGTGCTCGTCAAGACAGCCATCCTGTTCTGAGAAACGCGGGCTTGTGACGGAGCTTTTGTTATTACGTTTGGACAGCTTCAGGAACATCTCTGCAGTTGGATGGACAACGACAAATTCTTGCATGATCCATAATAAGACATAGTAAGACCCTTACCATAGACTACTGTTGCCTAGGGTTTTAACAGTAATGCACGGCCCTGTCCAGCAGCAGTGTGGCATTTCCAGCATCCTGACTTTCAGTTGTGGGCTCTGCAGCCGAAGGAAGAAGTCTTCGATGCATTTGATGCTCAGCATTTGTGGCTCAACTCAGCACGTCATCTCGATTGCAAGCCGCGCAGTGGACACCATGAGTCGCGCTGTGTCTCTTTGCGTTCTTGCCGCGTTGACTGCGTCGGCATCTGCCTCCAGCGACTGCTCTTCCTCGCGTGAGAAGAGCGGCAGCAGCCTCAGCAAGTGATGTGCTCTGATGCCTGTTTCAAGCATTTGAGCCACCATAAGCCCTAATCCTGAATTGTTGGGGCCAAGAAACCCTTGGCCATGTGGTGTTCAGTTCCTTCGGTTTCAATGCCTTACACCCCAAACCCAAAGCCAAACCCTTCAGCCTAAGGTCCAACAGTGAGGACAAGGGGGTCTGTCAATGCTGCAGAGGCGTGACACCGTGGCTGGGCCGGTCTTGGGAATCCTTTGTTCTTTTTTGGGTTTAAGGTTTAGGGATGGAACATCTGCAAGAGAAAATTTCGTCAGATACATAAGCATCCTACCTTTGAGGTACAAGGGGGAAGGGGGGTTCTTGGCAAGGGGGATTCCTGAACATCTTAGATTGTGAGATCCTCTGTCAGGGGTTTCTAGCTCTTCCTTACAGTAGCTCCTATAGGTTCCTGAGTAGGCTTTTGATAAGGTAGCCATGTTACATATGTTCACTGTTCGCGATAAGGTCAGGTGCATTTTGGGACTCTGCAGTTTGTTCCCTTTTCAACCCCGACCCAGGTCGAGAAGGGCCATCTCGGCAGCGGAAACGACGGCTGGATCAACGTCTGCCACTCACTTAGCCTTAGTGCATGCTGACGCCCTGGAGCTAAGCCCTAAACCCTAAATCCTAAACCCTAAATACTTCCATCGGTCGACACAGCCCAATCCAACAAGCCGCAGATGTCTTGGGCACATATCTATCATAAGTTGATACCCCCAAACCCTAAACCCCAAACTTATAAACCCCAAACCCCAGATCCCGACGCCCTAAAATGCATGACGCCAATCCCAAAACCATAGCGCCCTAAACCCTTGACCCGAAGCCCTAAACCCTAAACCAATAGTCCCTAAGGCTGAGCCCCTCAGCAGCCCCTAGGCTACTTCACGAACTGGGCGCGCTACCGGACTGGTCTGGTCAATGAAGGACGACATCGGGTTTGCCCAGAGACTCCAAAACCGCTTAATTAAGGAATATACCTTAAAAATCATATTACAAGAAGCTCCTCAGATCCTCAGCCTTTCATTTCTGCCCACAGTGAGTACAGGGACGTGCGAAAGCTTTGTATAGGGCCGCTCAAAAAAATAGTTTAAGGTGTATTCCCTAATTAAAGGGTTTTGCAGTCTCTGGGTGGGTTTAGGAGGTCGTAGGGTTCAGGTTTACGAGCGCTTGGGCGCTCGAGTGTAGGGTTTAGGGCTTTGAGTTTAGGGTTTAGGGCTTAGAGTTTAGGGTTTAGGGCTTTCAGTTTTCGGGTTTAGGCCGCAGCGAAACTTGGCCAGGACGGGATGCCTTCGAAATGGGATTGGATGGGAGTCTCTGCACTCACTTCATGTACGGCTTCGCCACAGTGACTCCGGGCGACGGGCTCAGTCACAAGGCATTCGGAAGCCTTAAAGACCTTAAAGACACCCATCCCCAAAATTTAAAGACCGTTGGGGGGGGGGCTGAATTAAAAAGGCTTGGGGTCTGGTTTCGGGTTTAGGGAGGTTTCGGGTCTCCATAGTTCAGGGTTTAGGGGTTTCGGGGTTTAGGGGTTTAGGGGTTTTGGGTTTAGGGGTTTCAGGGCTTTGGGTTGCGGGTTTGGGGTCATGTATGGTCTGCGGATTGGTTCGGCCCAAAGCTCCAAGTTCTCCGGGCCTTACAGCTCAGCACTGCTTCCTCTTCGCCTTCGACCTAGGGCCCCAATGCTTGGAGGATCATGGGACTTGGTAAGTTAGCTTAGAAGTACCTTGATTCGGGTTATAAGCAATAATAAGTATAGTTACCTCATTTATAACCTTAGTTACTAAGTCCCGTGATCCTTGAAGTACAATTGATTGCCACCCTTTCGGCCCCGTTCTCATGTCCCACCAACCACCCTCAACACAAACCAAAGATGCGTTGGAACCTGGAGCACTGCAGCCCCGAAGACTGTTCTACCTTTCCATATTATTCGTGTAGTGGTGATCAGTCCGGTTCATCCTGTCTTTTGAATTAAAAGTCCTCCCCACGAAGGCCTTGTTACTGAACCTTTGTAGAACCTTAACGGAACCCTGAAAGGCACGACGTTAAGAGACTGAAATCCAAGACTTCATGCTGAAGAGCAACGACCCCAACGCAGACCACCCCAGTGGCAGCGAAAACCAGGAGTGCTGTGGGCAAGGGTTGTGCAGAGTCTTTACAGGATTCCATATGTATTTTCGAAAAGACGTGTTTAACGTTTTTCCTTCTTCGTTGGATTGGATTTTTTGCATAAGGTTTCGTGTAGGGGCTTGAACACTAGAGACGGTAAAGGATACTGCCATCAGGGGCAGCGTATGCATGACTCTTGTTTGCTGGTGCACACTTGTTTTGAAGGGTTGTCCTTGCTGCTGCTACTACTACGACTCCCACTCCCGCTCCCACGCCTACTCCTCCTACTCCTCCTACTCCTCCTACCCCTGCTCCTGCTAATGCTCCGCTACGGGTCCTACTTTACCTCCTGCTACTTCTACTGCTGCTCCTGCTGCTGCTGCTGCTACCACTGCTACTGTTACTACTGCTCCTCCTCCGATGATTGGCCGGCAGCCTCGAGGACGGCCTCTGCCCCGAGGAGTGCAACGACCCGAACTTCAGCCCGGACTGGAGTGTCGCTTGGGCCACCAGTCAGTAGCTCAGTAGTTGGTACTAGTAGTACTCGGAGTTGTAGAAGACCAAAGTAGTAGGTAGTAGGTAGCAGGTAGTGTGGCAGTAGTTCCAATGCTAAATACTAAAAGCTGTACTGCTGGCATTGGCAATCAGCTTCATGCATGGGTTCAAGCCCAAGACGTTCGACCTCTATCGATTGTTCTGAGGACCCCGATGGGGTGCGCTGTGAGTGGCCTTGCTCGGCCACCCGAGTGCGGCGGGGATACGAAGCGCTGACGGCCCCGTGGATTCATCAGGCTGAAGTTTCCGAAAGACCAAGAAACCGGTCCGGAATGTGTGTCGAGCAGTGTCGAGGCTTCAGAAGCCCCCGAGGCCCTAAACCCCTATAGCTGTAGACTCGAAAACCGCAACAGGCCTCGAAGCCCTAAGGTGACCTGCACAAGTCAAGACTTCGGAGAGTGCAGGTAGAGGACTTCGAAGTACCAGGACTTTTGGAGTTAGCAACTTAGTAAGCGCTAAGTAGAAGCGATTGCTATGTCTCCGATCCTTCAACGACGGCCGAGGATCCTGCCGTTTTCCGGCACAACCCGGGAGCCTGAACCCTAAGGTGCAGATTTCTTCTCCTTTCATCCTCCAAAAGCCCCGACCAGCTCAGAGCTCTGAATACACCTGGAGTCTGCGCCGACACAGAATCAGCATAATATGGGGTTGTCAGGAAGGTTCTAGAGGGGTTGCCGCGAGCGTTCTACAAGGGTTGATGTACGGGTTCTACATGGGCTACTGTAAAGGTTCTAGAAGGGTTTCTGTACGGATCGTATGAGGGTTTCTACAAAGGGTTTAATTTAGGGACTGTTGTTGCTGCTGCTGCTGCTGCTGCTGCTATGACCATGACGAGACTGATTTCCAGGATGGAGTGGTTGGTGATTGGATGATTGGAGTAGTGGAGGCGTGATAATACTGTCCCACATGGTTGCGACAACGATGCCGAGGTTGGTATGAAACAGAAGAATTCGGCCATCAAGGCCTTGATCAGTGCGGCTTGGCTCTTCGGTAATTCAGGGGCAGAAAAAGAGAACCTATAGGCACCCCGCGTCCAAGCGCGGCGACTTCCTTACGGGCTTCCGGGGAGTTTTTGTTCCCTAACCGAGCTCAGCCTTAAACTTGAATCAATGGCTTGAGGTAACTTTGCCGGTGCAAGAAGAGGGTTCTTCTCTAAGCAGAGTCAATGCTTCAATGGGTTGGCAGCTCAGGCTGCGTGGTAGCCGGGTTAGAGCAACAGTTAGAGGCGTCCTTGTTGGGGTTGTCTTACATGTAGCTCCATTCACATCCTACCCGCTAAGTCCCCCTTCAAGCAGGGTCTCAGAGTGCTGCGAAATGGACAGCGAGCTCTGCGCTCTGAGCGCTGCACCCGAAGCTTCTTGCATCTCAAGCCCCCCAAAAAGCCCTAAAACCTAAGACCCTAAACCCTAAGCCCAAAACCCTAAGAACCCAAAGAACCCTAAAACCCTAAGACCCTAAACCCTAAGCCCTAAAACCCTAAGAACCTGAACCCTGAGCCTGGCACTGCATCCGCAGTTTGGGGTCTCGAGGCCGTCAAGCCTCAACCCCAAACCTAAGCCCTGAGCAAGACATGACCCCCAAGCTCCAAAGCTTGAAACCCTAAACCCCCAAGTTTAGGGTTTAGGGGTTTAGGGGTTTAGGGGTTAGGGGTTTAGGGCTGTTTAGGGGTTTAGAAACCCTAAACCCCAAACCCAAAACTTATAAACCCTAAACCCCAAACCCTAAACCCCCTAAACCCTAAACCCCTAAACCCTAAACTCCTAAACCCCTAAGTTTAGGGGTCTATAGGCGCTTTGCCCAGCCCGGCGCCGAGGTGGGCGGCTGGAACTTCAACGATTGCACCGCGAGCTCCTCTGCCACCTACGGCCAAGGAGCCGTTCTGGGTTTTAGGGTTTTTGGGGTTTAGGGCTTTTAGGGTTTAGGGTTTAGGGTTTTTGGGGTTTTGGGGTTTAGGGGTTGAGGGTTTAGGGCTTTAGGGTTTTAGGGTTTTTGTGTTTTAGGGTTTTTGGGTTTAGGGGTTTTGGGTTTAGGGTTTGGGGGTTTTTGGGTTTAGGGTTTAGGGTTTGGGGGCTTAGGGGTTAGGGTTTAGGGTTTGGGGGTTTAGGGTGTAGGGTTTGGGGGTTTGGGGTGTAGGGTTTGGGGTTTATGCATTAGAGGGCCTTCATAAGTTACAGTTCAGGGTTTCCTGTAAGCATTGCTAGTGG